GGAGAAGGGCCGATTCCAGACCTTGGGGGACCTGCGGAAGCAGTGGATGGAGTCTGGAGTAGAAACATCCAGAGCCACTGTGCACAGGCGTGTGCAGGAAATGGGCTACAGGTGCCACATTCCCCAGGTCAAGCTACTTTTGAACCAGAAACAGTGGCAGAAGCGCCTGACCTGGGCTACAGAGAAGCAGCACTGAACTGTTGCTCAGTGGTCCAAAGTACTTTTTTCGGATGAAAGCAAATTTTGCATGTCATCCGGAAATCAAGGTGCCAGAGTCTGGAGGAAGACTGGGGAGAAGGAAATGCCAAAATGCCAGAAGTCCAGTGTGAAGCACCCACAATCGATGGTCTGGGGTGCCATGTCAGCTGCTGGTGTTGGTCCACTGTGTTTTATCAAGGGCAGAGTCAATGCATCTAGCTATCAGGAGATTTTAGAGCACTTCATGCTTCCATCTGCTGCAAAGCTTTATGGAGATGAAGATTTCATTTTTCAGCACGACCTGGCACCTGCTCACAGTGCCAAAACCACTGGTAAATGGTTTACTGACCATGATATTACTGTGCTCAATTGGCCTGCCAACTCTCCTGACATGAACCCCATAGAGAACCTGTGGGATATTGTGAAGAGAAAGTTGAGAGACGCAAGACCCAACACTCTGGATGAGCTTAAGGCCGCTATCGAAGCATCCTGGGCCTCCATAACACCTCAGCAGTGCCACAGGCTGATTGCCTCCATGCCACGCCACATTGAAGCAGTTATTCATGCAAAAGGATTCCCGACCAAGTATTGAGTGTGTAGTGAACTTGATCTGATATCAAATCTGACCAGATGGACAGAAACTGTTATTTCATTGATCTGCATCCAGGAATACAGTTTGACCCATCTGGAGACTTTCTTCCTTGAATTAATCAAGTAGAAAAAGACAATTCTCTATGATCATTACTATTTTACGAATGTTTGATAATCAAATTGTGTTAGTCCACTCAATGTTTACAGGTTGAAGAGAACTACTCATTTTTATTTTACATAAACAGTAAGTAATGATTTTTATTCCTCATTCTAAGAAGAAATCAGGTTAATATGCATTTCTTGATTTTTCTGTCTTCAATGAGCAAATTTGTAAGTATGTTAAAGGTCGAGTTTCGGTCAACTAAAATGTTTACCGAGAAGAAATGTCATGTTTAACTTTCACAGAAGATACAGGAGAGTTTGACTCCACGAAGTCTGGTTTTCTCCAATAATCTTTCTGTCTGTTTTAAACAATCTCATTCTCTGCCCTTGACTTTGATAACACCTTACATCACAAACCACACCTCTGATCTGGTCCATCCACCAATCAGAAAGCTCTAAAATGACCCGGAAGTCAACCCATTTAAATGTGGCAACTTCCCGGTTCTCGCCAGAGTTAAAGAGTTACAAA